CACGGTCATCATAATGATACACACCAAAAGTAAATACTGTAATTAGCAGAAAGAAGCCGTTCCCTCAGGAGATACAGCCTGTCTTTCTGCTTAGGTTTTGCCTAATTTGCACAACACTGAGAACTGACTCATTTGTTTTTTCTGCTCCACGTGTGTCAATTCGTTTGTCAAGATGGAAACAGAAGTGTCAATAATGAAGGTAAATTTTGCTTCTACACGCTACTGAAAACGCAGCTTTGGTGAACTGGCTTGTTCTAAAAGTTGGTCGTGGTCCGGAGAAGTAGTCAAAGCTGACCATTGTCTTATAAATGAGGTTATGAAAACTTTTCCTCCCCTTCTGCCCGCAGTGTAAACATCCACAGAGGAGTGCACTCCAGACACCAGCCCCTCGCTGCTGGAGCTTTCCTGCTGCTGTTTGCTACGTATGCGCTTTATTTATTAAAGATAACCATCTTTGGTGATTTGCCAGGGCTTATCTCTGATGCCACCGTGGAGCTCACACAAACATGTGGCCTTGTGGTGTTCCACTACATAAACAAGAGTAAACAAAGAGACAATAGTGGTCAAGGCAGGAATGTGACTTGTGAGGACAGGCTGCATTTTATGCAAATTTCATACTCAGGAGGTGTTTACTGTAAATCGCACCTGTCCAGCTACCTGTTCGACATTTAAAGTCTTGCAGAGTGCAATTAGGCACGTCGTCTGCACAATGAGAATAATTGAGGCTTTTCCTATGAAGACTTGCAGTTCTCACTGCCGGCACTGAGAGTTTTGGGTGTGACCTAGCATCTGTGAAGACTTATTCTGAGCCGTGGTTTGTTTGTCCTTCCTACAATGTCTTGAAATAGACCGAACACATTTATTTTCTTGTCAATACGTCCATTCTCACTAAGTTCGCTGCTCACACAAGATTCAGTGTTCTGCACTAGACAAACTGAACACTTACCAGAACACGATGTAGTCTCATGGATGAGGTTCGGTTTATTTTTAAAGGAAAACATCTCGGATCTCTCAAACTGAGTGATACTAGAAGGAGGAAAAGCTTTGTTTCCAAGTATGACAGATGTCTTTATTTGGGCCCTTGTAGATCTGCAGCCCTCAGTCAGGACTGACAGGAGAACAGTGGGGCTGTTTTATAGTCAGTGTTTGTAGTGACAGGGTATTTCCTGGGAGCAGATGAGCCTCCGTAAATTTCACGTGTGATATCAGTGAGCATCCAGTCTCAGTGACAGCATGTTTTTTATATGATGCAGATTATCCAATGCCAGGCTCCATGTGCACAGTCTTGTAACAGATTTAGTGTAACATTGGATTAATTACAACAAAACGGCTCCATGAAAGATTCCTGTTGGATTTTATATAATGAAAAGAATCAGGTCTCTCCTCTGTCAGTCTATATTTTATATTTTACGGTTTTATTTGCAGTGACATTTCTTTATCAGCATTATTTCTAGATTATTGAGGATATGCACATTTCAAACATCCATAAATCAGGTCAAATATAGCTAGACGACCTCTCTAAAGCCAAATCTCTGGAGCCTGGCAGGGCTGTTCGTGCCGACTGATTAGAGAAAATGTGAAGAGAGAAAATGCAGCCGTATTGAAACTAACACACCCTGATTCTGTGGCCTTGACACCTTGACAATGTTCCCCTATGCTTTCCATCAAGAAAGGAAATACATCTCTTCAACTGACATGTGACAGTAACTTCCATGTATATTACTTCGTTAGAATTCAAAGCTTCTTAAGAAAATGTTTATCTATCTTACCGCACACTTGTTCTGTTGGGTCACTCTGTTGGTTCCAAATACACTGTGTGTGTGTTTTCACTAGATTAACCCTAAAAATAGTGACACAGACATTTGGTTTGTACCGAGGACTCTTATCTCCTTCTCCCTTGTACAGTCTCTTCTTCTTCGCTTGAACTGGAGTTAAACTCACACCAAGCATGTAAGCTTAAATATACACACCAGGCTTTCCCTCCTCAGAGAGAAGCAAGGTTATCACTAAATAAATGTGAATGAGTCGTAAGAAAACGTTGCAGCTTATCAACAAATCACAAAATAGCTTAGACACACAGGGAGATGGTGTTGTGTGGTCCTGCTAATGACTTAGAATAAGCCAGTTAATGCCAGCTAATGATGTGAGGATGTCTACTGTATTTTTTGACAAACTGCTAAAGAGTGAGAGAGATGATCCGTGGCCCCTGGCTTTTAAAACCCAGGTGGACCAGCTGCTGGTGAGTGATTGTAGACCTCTTCTTTATCTTATCACCAGTATGCCCTGCAAAACACCCTGCTCACTCGCTCACTCTCTCTCTCTGTGTGTGTGTGTGTGTGTGTGTGTGTGTGTGTGTGTGTGTGTACATGGGTTCTCTCCAGCAGTGCTGTGGCTGCAGGGTGACTTGCCAAAGCTCTTTAGAGAGCTGGACCTGCACAGAACAGTCATCAGAGTCATTTAGCATTACACAATAAACGTACAGCACTTAGCCACATAAATGCTTGTGATGGAGGCCGCAGACAGGGACACAAAGAGGAGGGGGGGGGGGGGGGGTGCAGGCAATAAGAGGAGGAGTAGTGAGACTCAGAGGTAGAGAGGGAGAGCATGGGGACGAGGTGGGAGAGACTCATTATCTGTAACAAACCGCTGAAGTAATTCCGGCACCGTCAAAAAACCCAAACCGTAACTGATTCATTCATTTATAAAAATGGAAATTAGATTTAAATTAGACTGTAAATTACATTTTAACATCACTCTGTGAAATGGGATTTTTTTCCCCCTCAAAATAACACAGTGAGTTCACAGCAGAAGATATCTGCCTATAAAAAAAAAAGTAGTTAAACAGAAATTAAGTTGAGTTTTTATTTTAAACTTCAGTTTTGATTTTGTATAAATTAACATATTATTGTGATAAGAAATAATTTCACAGGGAGGTGAGTTTCACTTTTTATGTACATGTTGCTACTGATGAAAATGAGGCCTCGGTTCTCGTTAGACACTGAGTGCAGAATTTGATACGAATAGCTATGACATGAAAATCAATCGTCTTGAGAAGCTGGTTGTTGGTTGTTTTATTAAACAAAAACTAAAAACATATTTCTTCACTTCAGCCTTTAAGCTCTGACTTTCCTGATATGATACAGGCTTGAAATTATTTTTTTGCACTTAGTTTCGCATCGCTGTACTTCTTTTAAGATCTTATGCATTCTATGTGTTCTATCATTTAACTTTATTTTTATCTTATTATGATTACAATTATTCAGTGGGTTTTGGTTTCCATCTCATATAAAATGTTCTGTCTCTGTGTATCTGTGTTATATTCTATGTCATTCTATTTAAATACCTGCAGTATAAGTTATATAAAATTTTTACACTAGGTAACACTTCCCTAAAATAGGGTTATGAAAGGACTTTTCTTTTGTCATGTCATAATATCACATGTTCAAAACTACACTTATGCTATAATCTGATTACTGTCCCTTATCCTGTTGGCTGGCCTCAGCAGCTGTGGGACTCTGATGCCTCTGTCTTATATAACACACCCCTCCTCTCCTCTCTCTCATCTCCTCTCCTCCCTTCCTCCTCTGTATGTTTATGCTGATGATGTGTCAAAACACTCCAGCCTGCCTCCCTAGCTCGCTGTCACGAGTCACATCTCTGCCCTTTCTCCTCTGCAAAGACACGAAACTCAGTTTGAGAGCATTAAAAATTCATGTCTGTTTGGGTTGGTCTTCCTCATTAATATTGACTAAAAGCTCTGAGAACAGTTCTGCTGCTGTCCGGTCAGCAGTGGGACAATTAGGGGAACACATTTTACAGCACTTGTGCTCCTTTCACTGGAACATAAGTTCAGCTGTAAGAAATTAAGATGGAGGAATTATTCATTGCCACACAGCTGACACGGTGCTCTCCCTAGAATAGAGAGGGAAAGAATCAGTGCTGTGATGTATTGCTATTAATTGTCTTGCATCGGTTTAATTGTCAGTTTAATTCCAGCAGTACTGCATTAAGCCCTGATGTGTTTACTCCACCACTGTTTTGAGTAGTTTCATCTCAGCAATCTAACAACATAGAATCCTGTCTCTGTCTCTTTTAAAGGGACCTATTCCTTATTTTCTGTCATATATTATGTTGCAATGTCGGACGTCCATATTAAACGTGGGCAAAATATCAAATAATGACGTGAATGTATGTAAAAGTAATCCCCATGAGACAAAAGCTCAGGTGTCAGTCTGCTCTGAACACCAGGTTTCCATCGTTTTTTTTCTACGTCTTGACATCTCGTCATGGATTCTTTTTTATACGGTCATCTGCTCTAAGCTCAGCTCGTTCTCCCAGCAGTCTACATGAGTCGTATTATAGACGTTTAATGTGCTCCAGCATTCAAATAACCGACAGCACAGGTTCACTTAACAGTCATTTCAACGTTAGCTTTGGTATTTATTTTGGTATTTATAGAATTTACATTTTTATATATGAATTGTGATTGAAAGATGAAGTCCACTGTCATGTTGCACAACAAGCAGGTAATGGGTGTCACATTTACTGAACCCCACTGTAGGGCAGTACACTTCTACAGCTACTCACCCGCTCTCTCCACAAATTGAATCCTGTAAAAGAAACATCACCTTCCTCAGTGCTGTACTGTCGGTATGTAATGTCCCTCTGCCAGGTTCCTTGTAGCAAGCAGGTGAAGTATGATGGGACACTAATTGGCTGGAGTTGAATAGAGGTGTCCTCTGGCAGTCCTTCACTGAGTCTCTGGCTGACTGGTATCACACAGTTGATCTGGACAGGTCTTGACTTAATAAGCCGACCGGGGAGTTGAAATACTCGGCTTAGTTTAGTCAAGATTCAAGGTTTTTTTTTTTTTTTTACAGCAAAGTGCATTGAAGTAACACATGAGACTGTAAATATGACAAATGATAAATATATATCTGCGTCAGTAACAGTCATTTTAATTAAAGTAACATTTTCTCCCTTTTCTTTTCCCTCCGCAGTCTTCATCTGCAGCTTCATGGTAGCAGCTCCCATCTTCGGTTACCTGGGCGACCGCTTCAATAGAAAGGTCATCCTGAGCTGTGGCATTTTCTTCTGGTCCATTGTTACTCTGTCGAGCTCCTTCATCAGCAAAGAGGTACGACATCGCATATACAGTCTAGATAGAAACACAGGAACAACTGCAGTGCAAGCGCTTCAGTGTTATTTTATCAGGCCGCTGCGCATGTGATACGGCCTTCACTGGCGAGCTAATTATTCTGTTATGATGTGGATATGCTTAATGTTAAGGCTAGTGAAATGAAATGACACGCTTGTTAAGTCAGACACCCGCTTAGCCTGTGTAGACATTCTTTATACCTCACTCTCTCTCTCTTTCTCTCTCTCTCTCACTGGCCACTATCAACTAATGAAGGCCCATGCCTCAGAGTTGTCTCAGTTACAATGCTTTAGAAGATAAGACTGTCGTTTCTCTGCCCCCAGACAAGTGGATTTAGATTTTATATCTCTGAAAGCCTCTGTGCGCTGGGCGGCATTGAACAATAACATTATCTTCAGGGTGACGATGTGGGTGGGGGAGGGGTATCTCGCTGAGAGTAGCCATCACATTACTGTGAAAGGCTCTGCACATGTGTGTGTATACTGAATGTGTGTGTGTGTGTGTGTGTGTGCGTATAGACGGACCTTGGCGGTCGTACAGCCTTGATGGACAGTCGCAATAAAAATCTAAGGAACTGACAAATGCAAGTAGCTTGACTGGCAGGGATATGCGGCATTAAAAGCCACGTTAGTTAAATTTATGCAGCACATGGCATGTCTGCTGAGCAGCGCTGCACTGAGTAAGCCTGTTCGCCGCTGAAGCTTCAGCCCAGAGCCGTGCAAGGGAATGACAGCTCAGAGATGCTGATGGACTCAGGAAGGCGTCCTTTGACTTAAATGCCCTATAGACTCGTGAGCAGGAAATACATTCACATGCTTATGGCTAAGATGAAATGAAGGGCCTCTTCCTGTCTGCCAAATGACCCAAAGGCTGCTCACTGCTGATGAGGGGATGGACAGTGGTCCTCAGCCCCCACATTCCTCTAACTCCATCCTTCAGACATCTTCCTGGGTATGCCAATCAACTGAGACAAGATAAGATGGCTCTTATGTAATAGCACTACGGCACATGAGAGATGAAAGGCATGACATGTAATGAAATGTTAATGGCCACTTACAACCGAGTCCTATCATTATGCATTTAACACTCTGGGGCGTTTTGGAAAGACTTGCAGCAGATACAGAATTCGGATCTTACATAAGAGAAATTTGCCACTGTCTTAAAGTTAAACTGCGTTTTTTTTCTGCATGACCACAACAGATTATCGTCATTAAATGATAACTTGCAGGTCAATTGAAATTTTAAAACGCATTAGTGGCTGCCTGCAGCTCACTGCTCCTCACTGTGAGTCAAACAGCTGAATGTCTTGGAGCAGAAACGCCCCTTTGATAACATGCATCGAATTATCCTTTATCTTTCATGTTATCTCTAAGATAATTTTATCCAATGAAGAGCATGAGTCATTTTATTTCTTATCTCATGAAAATAAAGAAGGTGGAACAAGGATAGCGACCACTGCTGCCACAATGACTGATGATCCCTGTCGTAACGTTACAGGTACAAGGTGCAGGTGCAGCTCTTCTCTTCCAAATGTGAAGTTGTTAGAGGTCCTGGTGTGACCTATTAGACTCAAGATAGTATGAGACTTGTCTATTGCCTCTTTGGTGACCTGAGAAAAAAAAGTTCTTTCTCCTCTCTGACAGAATTCAGTTTTGGTAAATGGGTCCATATAACAAAGAGGAAAAGTAAATTATATCCTTTTAGTCAAAATGGCATTATTCAAAGTGCAGAGTGCCACATTAGTGTCAAACCCTCTAGAGTTTTCTTTGCATTAAGGGAGACTCTGTGTCTATGTGCTGTAAAATGCACAAAAAGAACACACATCAGCATGCTAGCATTGTCACTGTAAGCATGTTAGCATGCTGATAGCAGCATTTATTTCAAAAGCACTGCTGTGCCTGCGCAGCCTGACAGAGCCGCTGTTTGAAGTTGAAGTAGATTTTCCCTAAACCTCCTTAATCTCTTTTATCTCTTTATAGTCTTCGACCTGCTTTTGCAGTTTCTAAACCTCATTTTCACGCCATTACTCTTTGGAGCTTTTTTTTGTTTGTTGTGGTTGTTGTTTTCACTCTTACTTGCATTTCTGTCCCAAGTGGCAATGATGGTCTGGTGACCACACACAAGAGCTAGCATCATGATCCCACTAAACAGCAGGCCATTAAAAGAAGAAAATAGACTGTCTGTGAATCCCTCAAAACAATGTGACAAACACAAAGATATAAAGCAGTGAAAGATCCGCTGGGATCCATCGTAAACACAGTAGTTGACATATGTGAAACCAGAGGCTAAAAAACACAGGCAGCAGTAAACACACACTGAAAATAATATGTCTGTGTGTGTGTGTGTGTGTGTGTGTGTGTGTGTGTGTGTGTGTGTGTGTTTGATGGCTGTGTGTATGACCTCATGACATGTCGTCCCATCCACCAGCATGAGGCCCGGAGTGACGGCTGAGAGCTCAGGTCAGCTCTGGGGTCACCGTCTTAGCTCTGCCTCTACCTACAGCACCATCATTAATCTCTTTTCACCGCTGACAACCCCTTTACAGACTGTAACCTTATCACACTCACACACACACACACACACACACACACACACACACACACACACACAGACTCTCATTATTAGAGCCCACAGTGAGCTCGTACATGTTTAAGGTGGTAAAGCTAAAAAGGACACAACATTAACTAGAAGGGCACTCCAATGTCAAATAACATACACATAAATTTAATTCACAATAAATTATCTGGATCTGCCCCAAAATCTAATGGGTTCTTCCCTGTCCCGTGCCCCATCCCTCCATCAAGTTCGGTGCAAATTGGTTCAGTGTGTTTTGCATAATCCTGCTGACAAATCAGTTCTACATGCAACCAATTTTACTAATGGGATTGTCCACGATTTAGTGCATCATTCCAGTGTGCAGGGGAACCACATTTCTTTGCAGCTTTAAAAAAGCAGACATAGTAGCCTGCATGCAGTGAGTTGTGGTTGCCATGGAAACAGTTAACAATCCAGCTGCCTACACAGGTGCCCCTGCCAGTGTGCATCCTCCTGCATAAGCCTTTTAAGTATTCGTCTTTTTTTATTTATCAGCATGCAATAGAAGATAATTCGCCATGGTAATTTAATATGACTAAACAAGATTGAACGCATTAAGCTCTTCTATGCTGACGTGATGCTATTTCACACTTCCATGAGCTGAAATTATTCTTGGTTGATCAAGATAACCTTCACCAACTTTGTTCTCGTGTGTAAAGACATTTACCTGCTGTTCAGGATCAGTGTGACAGCTTGTACGTTCACGTACTGCAGCAAAATCATGGGAGTAAACTTGTGAATGTCGTCTCTTCTCATTAATGAAGAACCACATACTCACAGTGTTGTATGTCCCATGTGTCCAGCTCTGATTATCTGGTAGACAGATGCATCAGAGGAAGTGTGACATTCGTAGACCTGCTACTACTAAGTATTGTGAGGGATAAAAGTAGCGTTGAGCTGTTTTTTTACCCAATGGAAATTATTCATAATGAAAAAGACAGGAAAAGTGGAGTTTGGATTTACATTCTGCTCTCACAGAAAGTTTCCCTGCGGAGTTTGATAATAAAACTCCTGTTTCTTTGCCTCTGTCTCTGTCTTTCTCCCTCTCTGCAGTACTACTGGCTGTTTGTGCTCTCCAGGGGACTGGTGGGCATCGGTGAGTCCAGCTACTCCTCCATCTCTCCCACCATCATAGGAGACCTGTTCACTAATAACAGCCGCACCATGATGCTGTCTGTCTTCTACCTGGCCATCCCCCTGGGAAGGTAAGAGCCAGACAGATCCTCTATTCTTGAAATAGACTTTGCGCAACAATAAAATAATATGATGTGTTCTGTGAGATGTTTGTGCAGATGTATATGAAAATATGGCTTTGTGACATTAAATCTGTTAATCTTTTCATCCAATCCAGCCTGTTCGTCAAATATTAAATCCAAAGGAATCAGAAGCACTAGCACAGATCATTAAAATTACCCTCACATAGCGAAGGTCAGGCTCACTCCTATCTGCCGTTTTTTTTTTTCCAGCAGCAGTCACACAAAGAGCTCAGTCCCCTCTGCAAAAAGAAAAGCAGAACTCACAATTGGCTGTGTGAAGCTTAAAGGAGGGTGGGAGGCTTTTCGGAGATGTGGCGCGGGGATGTGGGAGCAGGAGGTATTATTAAGCTTAAATCTCCGGCCTTTTCAGTTCATTCAATCAGAAAAAGGGCCACAGGGAGAAAACAAACAAAACCAAGTAATAAAAGATGAATGTGCCGGTTGATGCGGCGCAGGAGCCACTTGAGGTTTATTGTTATATACAGTGCTTAACAGAATGTGCCTGAGCAGCCGTGTGCTGCGCTGCTTTCCAGCTCCTGCACACAGACTCACACATGAGGAGACGCCAAGGAAGGGGAAATGTGCTGCAGTCTCTCCAGCGTTATAAACATCATCATTACATTCGATTTATATAATTATCACATGCCACTCAAATGTGTTGTTGCAGAGTAGAATACAGTGATGGATGGTTATGTAAGTTATGCAGTGTACTCATCAGATGTGTTTATTTGGACACGGATGAACAAAGGAAAGGCAAACTGCCCTCTGCGTGGTTGTGTTATGAGCAACCAAAATGTTTGGGTCACAATAAACTGCCCAGCAACACAGACAATAGAAGGTGAAAGAGTGGGGCTCAGTAAAGTGCAGTCAAACATCCTACCCAGCCTCCCACTTGTTTGTCTTTACTGAGGTTGTTATGACCATTTCCAGGAAATGACCTCAGGAATTAGACCAGATTCACGGGAAATGGATTCCCCTGCTTCTCGTTTTTTTTTTTTTTTTTTTTTTTTTTTTCCCTCCTCAGTTTTTAAACTTGGCTCCACGGATGGCGCTGTGTGACGCCGGTGTTTGATGTGAGCATATTTTTCATGCTCAAGTTTTATTGTTGGTGTTGAACTTTCCAAACACTCTCTGGGTGGACGCTGATAAGATTAGCTGTTAGTCACTCACTGGAAATATCATATGCTGTCTGAGCCTGTTTATACTGCAGTGTTATTTTTGGAGAACTAATCATGGAAGCCTAGACTGTTTCCCTCATCGCTCTGAGTGTGTAGATTCATGAGTGTAAAACCAGTGAAACACGTTTTTGGCCCTTTAGCGGTCAGTGCTGATAAGAAGTCACTCTAAAGTCCCATCAGTTACATTGATCGTCAATCTGCTGCTCCAGTCTGCTTTTCTAATGGAGAGCAGATCCTGCATCTCGTGGCCAGAGGCTCAGCACAGGCAGACAAACAGGTTCAAAGAGCTCGAAGAAAATCAGCAAGTCTGATTGACTTTCACTGGCTAATTACAGTGAAGAGGCTGAACAAGCTGCTGGAAGAAGCTGCAATGTGACAAATTAACGGCAAAATCAACATAAAACGTGCTAATAAGGTGTTGTCCCCCAAAGCAGCTTCAGTGCTTCAGTCCGGACCAGCACAATCTATTGGAGGGATGAACTTTTTTTTAGATATTTCAGACTGGTGTCTAGTGGTAGGAACAGTCTTAATTTTGCTCTTATTTAGTCCAATGGAAGTGGGCCGGACACCTTTGTGATTCATTCAAACGTCTATTTGAAGTCTGACAATTCATTTTATCTAAGTCATCGTGCTCACAAAAAATAGATAAATAAATCTTCCATGAGGTTCAGTAGTGCTGAGATCTGGTCACTGGCTTCCAAATAACTCATCGAACATTCAGCGACCTCTGTGTGTTAGCCTAGAAAATAGGGCCATTCTCCAGAACTGGCTTTACTGGAGGCCATGACAATCACTGACAGATATCAATGAATAACCAGTTCTTTATTTACTAATGCATTACTCTTTTGAAGATAATGTGCACATACTTGACTGTTAGTTGATGCACCTCTGCCGCTCATACCTTCAGTTTACCATTTAAATCCTTTTGTCCTGTAAACGCTGATGCGATCGAGCAGCAGAGGCTTATCACAACATAGGGGGCTCTTTTATCTGATCTGATATGATCTAGCAACATTTCCCTCAAAGCATTTTACTGCCATTTCCTTTTGTGACACAAAACACACCCTTTAACGCAGCTTAAACGCTGTGAAATCGAATTACACTGTGACAACACGCAGCCTTCGGCCAAACAGCCATGTTGGTGCTGCGCTCTGTCGGCTCACGGGCTGTAACTTTGCACCTGCATTTTGTGACTATACATGCACAAATCACACGTCCACAAATAGACCACCTAGCCGAGCTGCTACCGGTGCTTTGATCAGTGACACTGTCACAAGCTCTCCATGTCAAGTACCCAAACACTCAACGCAGCTTTAATCAGACTGCAAACAGGATGTGTGCGATGTAGGCGTAAGCTTAAGTGATGGAAACGAACAACGGCTTAATCGGGACACTGACTCATATACAGCATATATAAACTGGTTCAGACTAATATATATGATGTTTTGTGTTTCTCTGCAGTGGGTTGGGTTACATCCTGGGCTCCAGTGCGAAGGAGGCTGCAGGAGACTGGCACTGGGCACTGCGGGTAAGCATCATCATCATCATCATCATCATCATCCACTAGCACCGCACACCCCAAACATGCACACAAAGACAGATGAAGAGCACTGCCTGCAGGGGAGCCTGTCGCGGATCTGGGGTCACTGGGGTGAGTTGTGGAAGAAGCACCGGGGGACATGCATGGCTGAACAGGCGGTTCAGGCCCTGACATTGCAGGGAGGTGACAGAGGAGAGAGAGCTGAAGGGTGAACAACTCACACAGACATCCACAGCAGCATCAGCTCAGCCTCCAGCAGCGCTCTGCGCAAACCTTTCCGAAAATGTTTCTAAAACTTTTAAACATTAGATTCCCTCATTATCTTCATCTTCATATCAAACTAAAATGTTGTGGTAGTTCAGATCTGCATTTATCTTTCATTACATTTTACACATGGAGGTCATGAAGAGGGATCAATGCCTCAGTGAAATAACAAGGTGTCAGTTCTTCTTTAACCTGTGGTTAGTGACTTTTTCACCATTGGAACTTAATGAGACATGGTGTAATGTTTAGCCTTTGTCAGTCCGTCATGCTTCCTGCTTTTATTTTCATTTTTCTCCACACGCACTGGGGAGAAGTTACAAGGGGTTTTGGCCTTGCTCAGGATGCCGTACTAAATGCATGTTCCAGGTACTTTTACAGGTGCTGTGGATTGTGATTGGTCGAGCAAATGTGTCCTTATGTTACATAAAAAAAAGTACAGGAGCAACCACAGAGCAATAACCAGCAGCTCGCTATGGTAACAAAGGAGGACAATGGAAGGGGAAACGATGACCGTTAAATAACACCAACCCTGGGTCAAAACAACCCATTGGTAATAGGTCAAGTTAACCCAGTAATGTAATATTGACCCCCACACTGGGTCAAATTTTAAACCAATGATTTTTAAGAAATAACAAGGTGTGTTACAGAAGGCTCTAAGTTTTGTCGTGGAGGAGAGCGGGGTTTTAGTTTCATCTGGCACAAGGACTCATTTGTTACTATTTACTGGCTTGCAGAATGCCCCAAAGGTGAAGACCAAGACCATTAGGCTGGCTCTCTTCTAATTAAAGGCTAATCTCAGCTCTCAAGAGAAATGAATCTGTAGAAATGTACTGAGATGTCCCACCTTCATGAGGTATTGCTTCCAGAGAAAAACCTGTTTTTTGCAGTAGCACACTGACTGTGTACTTACAAGCAGACAAAGGTGTTAAATCAGGAGCATAAATCACTGTTGTCATAGCACTTTTTTATTGGGGCTCTACTGAGTACTTGAGACAAAACATTTTAGAGGTGAAAAGCTCTACAAGACATACCACTAATAATGGAGAGGACCAATGAAAGCTCTAACAGGACTCCCCACGAACCGCTGACTTCAGGGTCAGCTTTTAAAAACCTTACAACGTATTATTATGACCTGACTCTTCTTATGAACCAACTGACATTTAAAAGGAAGACATTAAACATTCTCTCAGCGTGTGGTGATGGAGGAGATTCCTGAAAATGACAGTTCGTCGGCTTATAGGAAACAGGAAGTACATTTCTTCTTGCCTTGGTGGAACATTAAAAAAAACAAAAAAAAAAACAAAGAGCGGGGCAGTTTGTTCCAAAGCAGCCACAATGACATTCCAATAAAACAATCTCGAAGCCAATTAATCACCAGTGTGGCATGCGGAGGAAAACACATACCAAGACATGAAACAAGTTCTGTGCAGCAGTATCCTGCTTTAAGGAAAAAACACTGCGGCGCTTCCGCTTGTTTTTGCCCTACGTGTTCCAGAGACCTTCCTGAACATGTGGACGATAAGAAGGAGATGCACAGAAGTGAGGAGCAAGAGAGGGCAGCAGCTAATTTGTTTGATTGCCAACCATCCATACAGGAAGTATCTAATGGCCCTTTTGGGAGTCAAGGTCAAAAGTCACAGACTACCAGTGTCACGTTGAATAATTACGAAGGGACTTCAAGCTAATATGTATTTTCCTCTTCAGTGCGACGAGCTCTGCCTTCTGCCTCCCTCTGAAAGCACATTATAAGTGTCTGATGTAGATGTCGATCCAATTAAGTTGCTCGACACAAGCAGGAGATGAGTGGAGGGAAGACGCGGCGTAGGGAAGGAAACCATCAGTGTTCCTCGCACCTCTGAGACCATAATCGCTGTGTTGAGCCGCGTTATCGGCCGCGTTATCGGCCGCGTTATGAGCCACGTCAGACTCATTATTACTCCCTAAATGAAAAACACACATAAACATACACACACCTACACACAACCAGCTTTTACAGCACCACAGTGCTTATGCATATGGATGGGTTTTTATAAGCTACAAAATAATATAATATGATGAATTTCCCCAGACAGTTGAAATTGTTTGTTTTTTTTTTTTCTGTGAGCAATTTGTATAACTCAAACAAACCCTCTCCCACACATCCCATCCTGCCTTTTGTCTCGTTCTGCCCCCACACAGACGCACACATGCACAAACATGCTACCTCCCAACCCATAAAGAAAAGCTGATACTAAACATATTAGCAGATGGGCACTTAAGGTTTTCACCTTGGTGCGGAGCTCACAAGGACAGAAAACTCTTTTTGAGTCTTGTATGCTTATACACCTAGACAGGCCCACACATATAAACACACACACACACACACACGGTGCCAGCAGAGTAAGCAGGGGGAATGTTCTAAGCTCCAGAGGGCTTGTATAGGATGTCAGACATATCCGCAAACACAGTGGCCGTCCATTCAGATTGTAAACACACCGCTCTTTGTCCGGCATTTCACATGGGCCCCCCTCCAAACCACTCCCAAGTCTGACCCAATATGAATATCCAGTCGGTATAATGTGTCAGCACCATCTGAAGCCTCGTACATCTTTCCTGTCCCACTAGGTGTCCCCGGTATTAGGGATCACTGCAGGAACTCTGATCCTGGTCTTCGTGCCCGAGCCCAAGAGAGGCAGCGCTGACCAGATGGGAGGACGCATCAAGACCCGCACCTCCTGGTTCTGTGACATGAAGGCTCTCGCCAAGAAGTAAGACCTGCGCTCAGCTTCAGGGGATACACATCTTACCTGTCATCTTACCTGATCTGTGATCAGTATAGTGGACAAACATACACACTTCATGTATTCACTCATGGTTAGCCTATAGTAACTATTAGAGGCATGGAAATGTCAACAGAGGGCAGAATGAATAAGTATCTTTCACTCACCACCTTCTGCAGCGCTGCTGAACTGTGAAGGCAGCTTTGCATCCCTGACACTGCAGGCCTGTGTTACTATAGCACCAGTGGGCTACGTTTCCTTAAAAATGTTATTAACTCTATATGTAGCCGTGCAGATTTATTGATGCTATTTTAGGTGAGCAGCCACATATTCATTCCTGTCACAGTGTGACTTTACGCAATACAGTCTCCTACATTCACCACCTATGGAAGCATGAAAAGCGTTAAAGGAGCTATTTTTAAGCATTAGCAGCTGTTTACTTACCAGTCTAGAAGAAATGTTCCAACTCCAGCATCAAACTTTATTCCTTTACTCACCAACAGCTGTCTCTAGTGGAAACCATCACCAATTTTAATTCTCGTCCTTATCACATCTTTTCTTCGACGGAAGTTAGCATGCTAACCAGCTAGCAGCGCCTCACTTTCCAATAGCGACTCACTGTAGCCTCCAGTCTGTCCTAAAGACGTAGCGCTGCTCAGAGGACGCATTATAACCGCTGGTCTTGTAAACATAATGATCTTCAAAGGTCTTGTCAAGCGAAAATCACCACCACCGGCTTCCTGCAAGGAACTACGTTCTCACTCGCAAATCACACGATCAGCCTTAGCTGTGTATCATTTCAGTTTACCTATTTGGCATCAGATTTGTCAGATTTGAGATAATGATAATCTCCCAAGTCCTTTATTTGTTTTACAAAGAGAAACCACGGGCAGGTGACATGTTTGAGATTGTGTTACAGATAACAGTGGCATGTTTATTTTTTGTCTTCTGTAAGCCAATATAATCACCTTTTTCATTTTTGTGTGTGTGCGTGTGTTTCTTCACGGCTAGCCGGAGCTACGTGTTCTCCTCCCTGGCGTCGGCGGCTGTTTCTTTTGCCACGGGTGCGTTTGGTATGTGGATCCCTCTGTACCTGGTCCGAGCCCAGGTGGTGCAGAAGACGGCAGAGCCCTGTGTAAAAGAGATCTGCAGTAGCACAGACAGGTGAGAGGCTAATGACTAAACATGAAGCACCGGCTTTGAAGTCACCGCTGCCTCTATTTGACTTGTGCAATCTGAAACCTGTAAAAGAGAAAGATACCAGCATACTTGGTGTACCACATGTAAAGAGCTGGATGGACTGGGTTTTGGTGGCTCTATGCCATTTTGTATGGCTTTATTTATTTTGGAGGTATTTCAGTGTTGCACCATTTATAGTTAGCAATGCTATGCTGCCAAAATTCATCCATGTGGTTGTATATCATAAAAAGTTACATGATATATAATGAAATAACTTATTTCATCTCCCCTCTCTCCTCCTTTCCAGTATAATCTTCGGGGCGATCACCTGTGTGACCGGGCTGTTGGGCGTGGTCATCGGGGCGGCCACCACACGCCTCTGTCGCCAGAAGACTGAGCGAGCTGACCCGCTCGTATGTGCTGTCAGCATGCTGGGCTCGGCCATCTTCATCTGCCTCATCTTTGTGGTGGCTAAGAAGAGCATCGTAGGAGCTTATGTAAGGCCCATTTCCTGTAACTGTTGTGTGTACGTGTTGCGTCTGCAGGAGGAAGCTGCCTCTTTTTCAAACCATGGAGGGAGTTGTGATTAAGTCCAATTTTGACTTTATTTTCAAGAGTCAACAGGTCTTCAGTGAGAAATGTCTCCCTGACAAAGAGTGATATTAGTATGTAAATTATGGATTAGCCTGAGGGACTGAGAATTAAAAGGGAAAGTCTGGTAACTGATCTAACAAGAGAAAGCTTTTTGAAAGCTCACCAGGGTGGCGTTAATGTTTGAATCAGGATGCCAGCTCCTTTCAGGCCCAGAGGCAGTGAGTGGGTGTCACTCTTAATGAATAGTTGAATTGCAGGTTAGATTGAGATGGCTTCGGGAGCTGCTGCAGGTAGCTGAGGTTTTGGCCAGAAGATCAGAGTCTCAGAGGCAAATGCACCGAGAGCTTGTGTGAGTCTGATTGGCTTGTGAAGCAGGAAAGGGCGCGACTTTACAATCACTGCCCTGAAAACAATGCAGTCTGAGCGGCTGGACTCACCAAGCCCAAACTTCTCACTCTTATCAGAGACAAAGGAATGGGAACTGACTCTCAACAACTCGGCCCGATGATGGAAAGCTGGGAAAGATGGAAAATATTTCCTATGCGTGTCAGGGAACATAACAAACAGACTTCCATATCCTAAATATGTGACCTTGGTTCACATTGGCAAGTTTGGCCTGTGACTTTTCACTGCTGGATCAGTGCAGGATTTCTTTTACAGTGTATGTGAGATGTGTTTATGATGTAATGATATACTAGAGTCATTCAGCAGCTGCTACACAAAGTAAGTGACAAATAATTACAGATATAAATAAATATTTTGATTAAACAAATTAATTTTATATATAAGCTTCCATGAAGTCAAAGTCTCATGTTTATCAAGTGTTCACTCAGCCAATTACTATAGACCTCAGGTGTGGAAGAATCCATATTAATTACAACTCAATTTTATAGAAACGGGCTTTACCATTTGCTGACAGAGTCAAGTGACACCTGGCTTCTTTCTTTGTACAGGTTGCAAAGAGTAAAAATGCAGATGATTGACGCTGTCAAATGTTCTAGATCTTACCCAGGATTTTCTCTCAGATTAGCGTCCAAGAATAAAATTGTTATGTGAAAACATGTGAAAATGATAGTCTTTTAACCGTGACAACCCCTAACTTCACACGTAACTTCACCTCTTCTCAGACTACTCTACTGTACAATATTAAATCATCTTACTGTACAGCAGCAGTTGTAAGTGATCAACTCAGGTTTCACGGCAAAGAGCTGACAGATGTGTTATATTATAAGGTGTGACGTGGTTGTAACGGTCGGTGCTGCTCTGTTGAGGACGATTGACCCCTCGCAGCTGTTGTCTCGTCAACACGAGACTAATCTGAGGGAGAGGCTGGGGCTTCTGTCTTCTAAGAGCCAACATGTCGGTCACGGTGTCTGGTTCGCAGCTCTCAGAACAGACCGGTCTACATCTCTGCCGTCAGGCTCCTTCTGTAGCCCCTCTGCGCTGCACTGTAGGTCTGGCACACTGGCAGAAGGGTTATTCCCAAGCAGGAGACACACATCAACCAGCCGTGTTAAACTGTGCCAGACGAACCCAGTCAATACAGATACACAGGATTCCTCTGCAACCAAAACCCTCTGGGTCTGTTCTTGAGAAAGTAGCCAAATAGCGACAGCAGCTGCTTCCAGCCTGTGTACATACAGTAGCCTGCATGTACATAAAGTATGTCAACTCCACTATGTTATTTTAAGTTTGCATTTTCTGCTCCACCCAGTCGCAAGTAGGACATAAACTCAGATCCTGCAGCTGGCTCTAAATGTAGGAAGTGTTATAATGTTTCCACACTGAAGATACAGCCTTAAAAAGAATAAACAATCCTTATCATCCCATGCTGTTTTCCAGCTCTAAGGCTACATACTCGGCTCAGTGGGACCAAAATGAAGGCCTGCACATCCACATATAATTGGGCCACAGCATAATAACATGTTTTTAAACCACCGCAGCCAAAGCACTTTTATTCAGCATGGATTCCCACACATGGGAGCAATATCTGCAACCTCCTCTTTTGGCTTCTGGTCCGGGGTTACCAGTCTTTTGTGCTGCAGAAATTGGATGATCTTAATCAGCAACACTAAAATGTGCAATTTCTTCTTCTTTATTTAGGTTTGCATCTTTATAGGAGAGACGCTGCTTTTCCTGAACTGGGCAATAACAGCAGATATTTTAATGGTAAGTACTGAGAACCTGTACTTGTTCACTTGGTCACTGGGAAGTCCTGCTAGAAACAAATTACCACAGGGCAGTGATCCAATTAGACATGGTTTGGAGTTGTGAAATGTGTGAGTGGACACTGTGGACTGTGAAGGCTGCAGATTGGGTGGAACTGATGATGACTGTCTGAGACTGATTCATATACCACTCAGGAAAACAAATGGAGAGGAGCCCCCCCCCCCCTCTCGTGTGTGTTTTTTGGTGTTTAAAAGTGAAAACAGGATGTTGAGAGAGCCATGAGACAGATCATTTTTTTGTTTACTGTGACAGACAGGTCTTCCTGATCCAAAGAGGCGGGCTCTGTGTACATAACTGACGACTGCAGGAGTTGTGTTAACAAGGCTGACTGACTCCTTCTACCTCTGTGTCTTCTACACAATGTCATGTATGTTTCACCTTCTGTCTCTTTCTGCAGTTTGTCGTTATTCCCACTCGGAGAGCAACAGCGGTCGCCTTTCAGAGCTTCACCTCACATCTGCTGGGTGACGCAGGAAGTCCGTACCTGATAGGCCTGGTAAGAGTCTCCCAGAAGCAGCTATGTTTGGTTGATCAGGGCGGGAAGGGGAATATATTTATTAAAGATTTAACTCAGGTTATAAATCGCAGCTACAACTTACCGCTTCAGCATATCTGTGAGCACCACATTCACACACACACACACACTCACGATGCATTCAGACACCAGTTCAGCTCTTGCTTTAAGTGGGCCAGTGCAAAGTGAGGTACAAGAGGAGCTTTTAGCACACGTCTCAGGAGGCCTGGTGAACAGAGTTGTGATTTCACCACCGCTCTTCAGGCTGTCAGTGGCGTTTTCTAGTAAATCTCATGGTACCCAGGAGGGGCCGCAGTTACTGTATTTGATTGGTTAGGAGATGAGGGGCTTACTGGGACACTAGGCCTCTCAAGGTCACAGTCAGCCCCCGCCCACCTCCACCCTCCAACCCTCCAAACTGCACGCATACACCCAGAGAATAGCATCCAGGAAGGCCAGAAAACAAGTGCCGCTTGCTATTCAATGGAGTGTGAAACAGGATTCACCTCAGCTGCATTCTTCTTGTTCCAACTAGAGAATGAACATTTCTGAAGTTAAATAGTAACTCGATGGAGGTAAACACTTTACGCCATAACTGAGCATACAGGAAGAAGGGAAAGGTTTTTGCCTAGGCAACACACACACACACACACACACACACACACACACACACATACTATCCTCATGTTTTATATTTTTATATCAGTTTTTATGATGCAGTTTTGGTGCCAGTTGATTGCTGAGACTGCCTCAGTGTAATGTGTGTACATTGTGTTTTACTGTCATGCCTCTGGCTCACAGTCTAGGTCACGTTGACAAAGGCAGTAAAAGTGTTTGATTAGTGAATCAAACTGATCCTCGAGATCCTCTGTCGGGGCCTGACAGGCTGGCAACAGACGCAGCTGTCTGTCGAGCTGTATTGAAAGTGTCCCGTTTTTGTTTTTTGTTGTTTTTTTTTCCTCTAAATGGAAATGTTAAACTGTTGTCAAAGCCAGATAAAGGGAGCTGTATGTTATCTCCAAGTGCTGACATGTTCTTCAAAAGACTGAACAACAAAAACTGGCACAGGAAAAAAATCAAAAATCCAAATTCTTGGAATCAGGCTCAAAGGCTGGTGCTGTAGTGTTTCTGCAGATCAAATAAAACCCAGTGTCATCTGTATGTTAAACTTCCTATTGACACATTTAGAGATACACAGCTTTGAAAAACTGTCTGAATCACTTTAATTCTGCTGATTTAAATGTTTCAATTAGTGATTAAACAATTAATCAAGCTACAAAAAAGGAATCAGCAATTCTGAAAACTGAAGTTTTAGTTATTTATTCACTGAGCAAATATGCCACACATTTACTGGATGGACTTCCTCAGACGTGAGGATTTGCTGCTTAACTCTGCTTGAAATCATTGTAAATTTAATATCTGTGGTTTCTGGATGTAAGTTGGACAAAAAAAAAAAACATTTGAAGAGTTGCCTTGGGCACACATGTCTTTTCATGGCCATTTTTTCACTATTTTCTGATATTTAATAAAGCAAATAACCAAATAAACTGATCAAATGACCAACAGATTAGTTGATAGATACAATAATGATCAGCTGCAGCACCAATTTCAACCTTACAGCATTTGTGGAAAAGGCAGGCTACTGTACAAGACCGTTGTTCTGGTGATACTGCAACAATATTCCAAAGCCCGAGCTCCAAATGTCAGAATAATGCTGCCTCCAGACAAACACACACAGACACTGCCAGCCAGCATTACCCAGACATGGCCCCACAGTGAGCCAGTCACCCCGGTCCCACTCCATCCGGCCTCCAGGGTCACGACTCTCCTCTGAGTTACATACTACATGTCCGGGGGCTTTCTCACTCCTCCACAAACTGCCTCAGTTCCTGAACCTGAGGTTTAGCACACGAGTGTGACGGACTCGTTGTGACGCACACTGTGAGCGCGGGCTGATACAGAGTCACACATGCAGACTGGCACAAATCCTGTGAATGAGCAAAGTGGAGAATCTCAAGAAAAACAGACCGGTGGTCATTGCTTAGCAACCACAGGAGAAAGCGAGTGAGTCAGTCGTTTTGGTTCACAGTTGGGTTGTGCACCAAACAGACCTGCAGATGATGTACTCAACTCTACAAACCAATGTGGTGCTACCAGTACACCGTAGTTGCTTTGTTAGCGGGAAGTGCCTGCAGATATCGGTGCCCACGTGCCACACAATGGCCAGTCCCTATTGTTAACCAAAAAGTGCTTCAGTACATTTGAAATTCTCCTGAGCGTGAGTCAACATCCTGCTCTATCAGCACGTAGACTGCGGCCGCTGTCGCACGAGAAATCCCCCCAACAGACACGTAATGGACTCCTCCTATACTGCATGGGTAGGACATGGCCACAGGCGGAGTGGGTGGCGGGGGGAACGCCAGGAACAATCTCTCAGCAATCTCTCAAGAAATGCCTTCCTGCTCGATAATTAGACTTGCAGCAGTTTGCTGTGTATTTTTAGCTAAGCTGTACTGTGCAAGTTGCAGGCAATTTACTGTACCTGATGAAATACACTCTGCACTGGCCACACACACACACACACACACACACACACACATACACACAAACACACACACACACATAGCTGCTGGACATACACTAGATTTTATCACGCACTCCTCACGATATTTACGCACCTTACACATGCACATATGAACACTCCCTCCGACATCCTCCTGTCAGCAGTTCTCCACCTCTCCCCGTAAAGAATCCCATTCTGCTGATGCTAACATATAATCAATGTGCTTCAGCCAGGGTGACCTATGGCCCTCAGACTCTCACTCACTCACAGACGTGAAGCAGCCCCAGTACCCCCCTCTTTGCTCCTGCTGTTCATACCTCCACACAATCTGCTAAAAGCAGCCTCCTCTCCATCAGTGTGGTGATCTATGCGTGTTTGAGAGCTGCCTTTTGAGTGGTACAGGGAGGCAGAAATGATCACATCACACCCACTGTTCTCCAGCTGTTGTTTTCCTCAGCGCCACGCATGAGAGACAGTGTTACTTAAGCCTTCAACAGCAATATGAGCTATTAGCTATGAAATCCTGCCACACTTTAAAACAAAAACAGAGCATCTTACATCACGCCGTGCCTCGCTCTTATCTGTTGCTATGATGAAACATGCAGGACTCACTCTGATAAAGTGCTTGTTGTGAGTGTGTAACCACCGTAGCATCTTGTTGTGTGTCAGAGCATGACAGGATATCTTAAGAACTTTTGCTGGATGATTAGTGCTAATAAAACTTTTTCTCCTGTGTCTGTGACTGTGTGTGTGTGTGTGTGTGTGTGTGTGTGTGTGTGTGTGTGTGTGTGTGTGTGTGTGTTTGTCATTGTGTATTTGTGCTTGCGTGCCTGGGTGCAGATCTCCGACGCCCTTCAGCAGAGCTACACAACCTCAGCACTGTGGCGGTTCCTCAGTTTGGGCTATGCCCTCATGCTCTGTCCCTTTATCATCGTCCTGGGGGGCATGTTTTTCCTGGCCACTGCGCTGTTTTTCCTGGATGACAGAGAGAAGGCAGAGAAACAGTAAGTGACTCAGACATTGTTTCAATAACTCGTCATTATTTCATTTATTTTTTAGTCATCCATTCTTTAAATATTTAATACGTGCTTGAGTTGTCCTCCACTAACTCTCTGAGTCCAAACACACCACCACAAGAAGCAGCTGTAATGTTGCCATGCAGTGCCATATAGACCAAAGAGGTCAGAGACTTCGCTCGCTGCTCTTTTAGCCTGATGCTGGGGTGTGACGCGTGTCAAAGACAAGCTGCCCAACGATGCCAACAATGGTGCCAACCCTGCAAGACTCAGAGAGGCCCTCGAGCCAGTAGAAAGTCCCAGTCAGCTAAAAGTGCTCCAGAGCTGACACAAGCTGTTCTAGCCATCAATTTGTTAAAGTGTGCTTACTTAGACTTTTACCAGCTACCGCCCCTCTTATTTGTGCCTTCATATTTTCCTCTTTCAAACACCAAGACGTGAACACAGAGGGCCTGGCCGCTGGTCATGGCCTTAAAAGGCTAAAACAAACTCATCCTCTTTCAGAATGTGAGACATGACTTCTTGTTTCTTTCAGACTATTTTTTCCTACTTTTTTATCACGCTGACTTGCTCCCCTGGTGCCAGCGCTCTCAGAAATGACTTCCTTCCTGTTGAAGATGAGGGACATTTTTAGGCAGGATGGCAGTCTGATGTCTGACGTCTGTCTGCAGTCACTTTTTCTTCACCCTGTGGAGTTGGTTGTCGTTCCCACGCCAAAACCCCCACATAAAGAGAGATTAGGGAGATTTAGGAGAAAGAACTTCCATCAGGCAACATTTGTGGAACTTACGTTGAACCCCAAACTTTAGGATTTTATGCATTTTATAATCCAAGGGTCGAGCTAACAACCAAGGTGTTAATATTTCCTCAGTGTAATGTTAACATGAAGATTTAAAGGACTCTTTGCAAAGGCACACATCCATGGCTGCCACCAGTCAGTGGCTTCTGTTGAGTCTATTCTAGGGGGGGGGGAGGAAGAAATGCAAAACAATGACTAAAAGAAAAGTCATGCTCTTGTCGCCGTGCCAGCAATAGATAATAGTTTGTGGTCCAATATGTGGTTCAAGCTATTTGACCTCATTATTGCACAGTGTGGGCAGATGGCACATGTTCACTCAAACTATATCTAACCACAACCCCTTGACTTTCACACCACATGCTCTAGGGCGAAGCTAATGGAGCAGCAGATGGAGTCAAAAAAAAAGTTCAGATATGAAACAGACATACTTAAAGTCACTGCGCGGCCATTCCTGTGTGTCCTTTTTCACAGATATGATTAACAGAGATGTGTAGAGGTCGGCTCGGGAGTTTTAGAGATTATTCAACTACTTTTCAACGTTGACGCAGCATCTACGTTCTGATGAGTCAACTTATAGAAAGGCGATACAAACTGTAACTCACAGCTCTATCAGTCATTAATATGTCATGTAATAATGCTCCATAGATGCTGAGTTTCTAATCAAGAGACAGTCATTCATATTCATTATAATAATCACTTCATGATAAGCCAACAAATAGTAATAAAGAGAGTGTGATACCAAACTTCCTTCACATATTGGTTGTGATGTGTGATATTAGAAACTTGACTAGTTCACGACCACCTTTGCCTGTGTGCCTCACCTATAAATGAGTTAATCATTCACCAGCTTCTTGGATTACATCCAGGTATATGTACACAGCAAACATACTGTTGCATACCTCACATAGTCCTAAAGCTTCTGCAGAACGGCACAAATCTGTACTAAACATTCAAATGAACTTATACAGCAGCAGCGCTTATGTAACGAGCTGCAAACAGCACCCCGGGGACCAAGAAAGATGACAACATCCACAACTTTGTAGGGTTGTTCCATGACTGTGATATATATATATATATAGACTCCATTCACGCTATAAAGCCCCCAATTTATAAATTCTCCCTGACTCTACAGAGCGTTTTGCAGCTTTTTTCTTTTTTTTTCCTCCTTTCAGTGTGTCCTCAGATACTCAGCTCTATTTATAAAAGGCGCGGAGCTGAACGAGTTACTCACTGGAGCGCGCTTGTCTATTTTCAGCCTTAAAGAGTGCTTTATTATTTCTAGGTTGTTAGCTTTTTTTGGCTGCAGGGTTGCCATTAATAGCTGGGGTTCAGTGCGTGTTGCCTCCCCACGCGTTCACCCAGTCCACATTTACACTTTGTGATGTGTGAGAGCTGAACTGTCTCATCTGCCACTGCCTGTGTACCTTGACAGTACAGATCCAGTGTGGGTCAGGGCGGGCTGAGCGCTGCAGCCTGGAATATCACAGAAGCAGATAGGGATGAAGTTAAGACACAGATAGAAAGCAGTGATGAGTAAAATTAGGAAAATGCTGGTTAAAAAAGAAAAAAAAAAGAACTTCCTAACAGTTTTTGTGCGTCCTTAATTTCTAAAACTCTTCTTCTCTCCTCAGGTTGAGCCAGCTGACACGACCACCCTCTTCAGTCAAGGTATGACCAGGTAAATTGCCTTTTCTCATAAAGAAGCTTTGACACTTTAATGCTTTGCACATCAGCAGTTCTAGGAGCAGTTCAGACAGTTGACAGCAAAGAGAACGTCTCCCTCCTCGTTACCATGAAGAGCTCCTTCCATTAGGAGACTCAGACAACTGAAAAACAAGATTTTCTGGACTTAAAAAACACTTTGACTAGAGGCGATCCAGAGCTTTGTAACAGTGTAAACACTTCAGGTGATGAACATGATGATAAACAAATGATTGATCCATTATCCATTTCCCATCCCATTGTAGTCTGGGAATGTTTAGGCATTCTTGGAGTGGTGATTATTTGACCAATTATCTGGCATCTTATCAAGACCTGAGCTGCCTTCCCTCCTTCCTGTCTTTATCAGACCCACACACATGGTGCAAAACCCCTTGTCTAACGTAATTATTAACTGAGGGAGAAAAGACAATAACTGGCAGCACACCAGACAACTGTGCACAGTAGACAATGGGGAGCTACTGTAAAGAATAATACGATTAAACTCTGACTGACTGATTAGAAGGACTAGGAAACTGTTGCGACCTACTTGTAAAGGTTATCATGTTTAGCCAAAAGGTCAAGGTTCTACCCCGTTCTAATCATATGCTTCTAACTTTATCTGGGTTTATTTGTGTACATACAGTATGTTGACATTTGTCAACATGATATATGTACTGGTGCACTGGCCTTGCCCTATGGGGCCCAGTCACACACAGAAAAAAACTGGACATGTGACAGGCCACACTGTGGGCCTGCCACTTGTAGCGGTCGGGGTCGAGTGTTGTGTAATCAAGGCAACGGGCAAAGGACAATCCTTTTCCAGAACTGCCCAGTGTGACAGACGCCGGGTGGGTGAGGGGGACACTCGCGACTGCGTGGCGCCGAGAGGAAGGCCCTGACTGTTTTCTGTTCCTGTGCACCGAAGAGCACTTCAAAGTATCCGGCCTTCTTTGAGTCTCTGCGTGGATCCTGAAAAAGGATAACACCTAGAGACTGTGTAGGTCTGTCGGGGGATTTTTGGTGCTTTGTTATCGATCCTCTCTGCTAGTCATGGATTGGCCATAACAAACACCAGGTACAGCAGAACACCTTAGGTCACAGATCGACGATTGGTCGTATCACATCTGTGGCCGTATGTCTTGGACACTCATGTGATGAGAGAAGCAGAGCTGTCAGCTGATCACTGCTAATGCACTGGATCAGATGGTGGCGGAAACTGCCAGACCTTTTAAACCCAAACATGTAGCGAGGGTGAGCTGTGATCACCTGGCTGAAGCCTCAGTCCACAAAGTCTTTAACTCCCACCTCCAGGAGAATTTCTCATGCTTCCTTAAGGAGTTGTCTGGTGTCATGGTCTCTGAGCAGACCATGTTCAGATACTCCACTGTAGAGGCAGTGGCCTCGAGCTGTAGTCGGAAGGTTGACGTTGCCTGTCACGACGGCAGTCTGAGGTCCTTCTAATGACAGACTTGATGGAAGCCTCACTCATGTCTCTGGCAGAGGTCTCTGAGCTCCTCAGCCAGAAGGCACCAGGTGTGGATGAGATTCGCCCTGACACGCTGAAGGCTCTGGACATTATTGGGATGTCTTGGCTGACACACCTTTTCAATGTTGTCTGGAGGTCAGGGTGGACGAGGGTGGCAGTTCCCATCCTTAAAAAGGGGAAGCAGAAGGTGGCAGTACTAGAACTGTCGCTACGAGCCATCCGGTCATTATATAACTGGAGTGAGAGCTGTGTCTCGCCCATACGTTATTTTACTGCAAGAGCTTCCTGGTAGTCTGTCTGTTCATCATGCATCAGTTCTGACCATTATAAAAGTGTTCTTCTGTGTGTATACAAGGGAACTCTGACATCTGATATTTGATCAGCCGCTGATGGAAAGCATTGCCTTCAAGGTTCAAAGTCGGGCTTTATAGTCTCATAGTGCAGTGCTATATTGTATTATAATATGGAATTGCACAATGAAATGCAGTTTTCCTCCATACAACACATTTTAGGAAAAAAAACATAGAAATAAAAAGAAAGATTATTAGCTAATTTATCAGTAATAATGCAATATGGAGAATATTCAGGAGAAATCTTGCTGGGAATTCTGTCTCAAAAGACAAATAATAAGCAAACACATGTGAAAGAGGTGATATGAATTCTGTTGTGTGTGTGTGTGTGGAATTATTATTAGATGTATTGATCTGCAGCTTAAAAAATCTGAAATCTGCAGTGTCCTTGACTACGCTAACAACGAGAGCTCCAAACACTTGCACCACACAAGATGTGAAGAGGATGATTGGGAGGCAATGGCGGATGCTTTGGAAAACAGTGTACTGCAGCATCAAGGCCACGTCATTTGTATTTAATTGGCTACAATATGCAAAACCGCTGCTGTGGTCTCTTACTGTAAACACTGCAGTGCTATTACCATTGGCGGGGTGACATTAGCGTTCACAGCTAATGACAGGTGACATGAAAGGCTCCCACATGGCTGCCACACAGATCAGGTTTCAGTGGCAGTTTGTGCTCTCAGCCTTAGGGGTTTCACCAGTTCTCTGTCACACAGAGCGGCTAAAGCTGCTGTCAAAAGGGGCTAATTATAGATGATTACAGCTTCATGAGGTCAGAGTTGAATATGCCTATGAACTGATCATTTCTGTTCCAATGTGAAACCACAGAGGAGCTCATTGGTGAGTGATTTTCAGCAAATTTGTTTTGAAAGATAATCCCATCAGCCACAAGCAATATTTCCTCCCTTGGGTCTGACTCACAGATCAATACAGTTCACAGTTCAGCCACTCTCTTAAGACAAACCTTTTACATTCACTCTGACTGCTGCGCCCAGAGGTACAACATGCAACAAACAATTAAGAGAGAATCAAAGGGAGTTGAATGATGTTGTTGTTTAAGTTTAATATTTCAATTTTCTTCTGACAAGGAGTAAGAAGTGAAGGAGATGAATTTAGAGGAGGAGAGAAAAGACACACGACCCCTGAATAAATGAGGATGAAGAGAAGCAGTAATCGCCTAAGCTGTTATACATCACAAGCTATTAATCTCCGGTGATGCAATCCCAGACGGAGATCAGATACACCGAGATCCAATTAACTTCTTCTGCAGGAGAAAAGCAGCCTCTCTGCTGACCAGATTCACACCACACAGCACGATAAGTCGAGGACATCCCCGAGCTGGGGGGGCTGTCAGAAGATCAGCGTGAGATCTGACAGCAGAGCTTCACACTCATTTATTCAGTAACCACAATCCCGTAGTACTCGGGGAGGAAATTTATGTCATGTGGCAAAACTCTGATTTAGTCACTGCAGTCCAAACCTTAACTGTAGAAATGTTTATACAGCTGCAGGCGCATACTTTCCTTCTTCACGCGCTTATCATTCAACAAAAAGCTCTGGGTCCTCAGTCAACAGTGCTCAATGGGTTCATGGCACTGGGTAGGGCAGCAACCACAGACCACACACACACACACACACACACACAATGTACAGCCAGGCTCTGATGTGACGTGTACATTTCAAAAGCCCCTTGACTTTCAGCTCTTCTTGTTAGAAAGCGAAGCAGCGCTCTCTTTAACACATCTCTGGTCTCATTTACGGGACCATTCACTGCTTTCTCCATCTGCCACTCAGATCTACAGTAATGTCAGCCTGGCCGTGATCAGTCATGATTTGCGTCCTCGCAGCCAACAACCACTACAAGTCGGTTTGATTAGAGTTTGTTCACTTGCCAGACCAATCAGACCTCCCCTCTGCTGCAGAAGCCAACGATCTCCAGCACAGTGATAGTGAAGCTGTGAGGAGGCAGGCCAATCTTTTGCAGATATCAAAGCGTTCACAACTCTAATTATCTTTAAATCACGCTGTCATCTGAGCAATTTTAAGTATAAGTTTGGCTCAAACTATTGAGCAATCAAACAATTCCGTTTTTGTGTTAAGTGTTAATTAAGGAAAAACGGTTCATCCCAGAGAGGATTGGATCTGCATGTGTTGTACCAAAACACATTGTTTTCTAAAAGCCACTAATCCTCCTGTTTAAGCTAATTACCCTTGTTTGTATGAAGCAGTTTTACTGGAGCAAATCAGTGTGTCTGCATGTGTATATATGCCCATGTCTGTAGATGCCTGTGGGTCCATGGGTGTGTGTCAGACACGAGCTCAATGCATTGCTTCCACCGAGCTCCCTGCACTAATCCTATTGTAGCAGCAGTAGCGGCTTGTGTAGCGGAGCATCCAGGGCACCGTGATGACAGACCACAACAAACAGCGGGAGGCCGCGCCATCTCTCTCATCCAATCTGAAGAGATCACAAGCGTGGCACCATGAACGCTTGATGGTCTAATCTCCAACTGCAGTATAGTTTTCCCTCCGGTGCCAATTTTTCCCCACACATGAGCTTTGTTTATTTGTTTATGAGCGGACGAGATTTTGAGAAGTCTGAATTAATAATCTGACATAGTGTTCAGCCCATGTTCAGATTCTTGGCATTGAAAAAACAATCTGAAATTATACTGTGAGTGAACAGTGGTGAAAATTTAGACCATCTCCCTTCTTTGTGATAGAGAGCACGCAAAGCAATGAGGCGCACAAAGTTACCTTCTTCTTTTACTCCACTTCATTTCAGAGCGAGATGTTGTCGTTTTATGTCAACTACATTTACATGATGACACCAGTAGTTAGTCTTAACTTTGAAAATTCATATTTTACATCAATAACGTATAAATATGATCAGTATATTTGGATTAAACTACGATTCAAGTTTGACTAACTACATTAAAATGCACCAGCACTGATCTAATAATATAACATATAATAATATGTCACTGACAGTCATGTTGTACGTTGAACATTAATTTATGCGCTCTGTTATTTTACATCAGCAAACCATCTTCCTCATCGTCCGCACGGTAACATCAATATCAAATGTTAAACCCCAGTCTCTGCATCTGGAGATACACTGGCTGTGTGTCGCTGCTGTGGCTTATAGCTTGCTGTTGTACAGATTGGGGGGGGTCAGCATTAAACACACTGTTATGTGTTGGTATGCTGTTTACAGGAAAATATGTAGGTCACAGGCTGGTCCTGGTGAGCAGGCGTTATCAGGGAGGTCCTAACAGATGGCCCAGGAGCTTTCGACCTCAACGTTAATTACATGAGAATGTCCTGTAGTGAGGCCAGACTCTAACTGCTCTGCCCCCCCCCCCCCCCCCCCCCCTCTCTCTCTCAGGTGACAACCAATTGAGGAGCCATCTGAAGGAGCAACCAAACTCGACAAGGATGACAAATACAGAGGGCAGCTGATCCACCTCTTTAAAACCACACCCATGTCATCTTTCCTATTATCACCGCCGCCGCCGCCGCCATCATCATCCTCATCCTCCTGGCTCCTGCTGTTCTCCCTTTTCTATACACGCTCATGGAGGCTGCTCAGAACTGGACCGAGGGAGCGTCTTGCCCCCTCTTGAACCGCCTCTAAATCACAGGCTGGTGAGAACGTGCACAGCCACCGGGCCGACAGCTGGTGTCCTTCCTCACCTCTGTCTGTGAGGATCCACTGAACCTTCCAGGGAGGAGGTGGAGGTGGCGCAAAATCCCCCATGATCCCCTCTGACTCCTGATGCCATACTACTGAATGCTGATCATGAACCTGCCCTGTCTGTCTGCCTGTCTGTCCAACGGTCTGTCTCTGTATGTCTGTCTGTCTGTTATGTTGGCTGTCAATCTGCACCAAGTGCCATATAGCATCATTACATTCCTTCAGACTTTGCACTGACCACAAACAACCCTCATGACTTCATCCTTGTCTATATTTACATGCACACTATAATTCAGCTTTTGGCTTTGAAATTAGTTTGATTGAGCTGTTTATTCGGATCATCTGCAGTCACAACGCTCCACTGGTGTCTGCGCAGCTCCCATGCAAATTTTTCCACAATTTATTCTGCCCGGGCTTTCAACTCGAAAACAGACAGTAGCTGTAAAATTCAAGTTATGTGGAGCAAATGATGCAACTTGTCAAAACGTGCTGCAGGGATAGTATGTTTCTCAAAGTGTTGTTTATCTGCTCAAACATGCATCCAGTAATGTGACTAATACGACTCGGGGTTATTCTGCACATCTTCATCACAGTGTTAACAACGTGGACTTCAAAACGCAGATACAGTGTTTACATGATGATGAATGCAGTATTCTCATAATCGATCGAAATCCCGCTGTGCATGTAAACATAGCCGTCAACCAAGAGCCAAAAAGTGTTGCCGTCTAAAGGTCAGTGAATCAGCCTTAAAAATTGGAGCTTTCCCATCAACAGCTGTTTCTTTTCACCCCCTCCCTCCATATGTGTTTTTATTTTTAGCTTTTAGCACTTAAATCCGTGTAGACGGTGCCAGAGAACATGACAGATGAGAGATTTCTGCACATTATTTTTCACAAGGTCCCTTGTGATCTTTTTTTTTTTTTTTTTTTTTTTTTTTTTTTTTTTCTTTGTGTGTGATGTTGGATTTGTAACTGGAGTTTACAGTCTGTGATTGTTTCAGAAGGATGACGAAACAATCCGGGCTGTTTAAAGCAGACACTGGATTTTTATATTTTATCATTTATATTGTACATGCTATTCCCAAAATTGCTACTCCTTCGGTTTTTAAGGAGTAATACTTGTGTTTTTGTGTAAATGAGAAGCAATACTATTTCTTTTTCATGCAAACCAACCATTTTTTTTTTATCCACACTGCCTTATCAGTGAGCTGGGTTTCCCTTTGGAGCTCTCTGATGGTTGGTTTTGAATTTCTGGACACAACACCCACACAGAGACGGAGTCACTTTTAATGATGGATTCCAGTCCAGTCCATGCTGGTTACAATAACAGGCATTGTGAATAGAGACCTTTCCCCCTTTGCTATTGTAGATATCCCTTTCCACGATTAGCAGAAAGAACCTTTGTAAAGAGCTGGAGTCACACTCATCGGTTTATTAGTGAGGGAAATCAAACTCCCAGACAGGAACGGGAAATCCTTCTGCCTCGGGTTAGACTGATGGCGGCCTCTTATCGCTGATAATGGATAAGCATCCCCCCTTTGAAAGAGGACCAGCGTGTCCTCAGATGTCACTGCAGGAGCTGAAAAACAGAGTCCCCCTCAATACCTGCACCAGGTATTGACACAGAGATTTACATAGAAAATAGAAGTTCACAATAGACAGAAAATCTGGATTTGATTTTATCACTCTACGCATTAATTACAGTATTTTAAGTGTAATTATGCAAAAGAAATTCAATCTCTCACAAAGATCTGAGAGGAAGACTGCAGCTTCTTTCTAGTATGTACAAAGTTTTTCGGCGAAACGCCTCATTTAGAAAATACCTTGAAGGATCCTTTTTGTAGTACATGACCTGGTGGATACACTTCTACTGAAACCTTGAAGCCACTAAAGCAGTCACAGTTTGTAAAACTTGTGAGTAAAGGGAAGAAACAAAGCACTTTGCAGACCCCCAAGAAGAACGCAGAAGAAGGAGGAGAAGGACGGATTGACCTTCGCGGAGGAATAAAGGGAGACATTGAGGTGGTTGTTGTAGCGCTGATGTGCGAGCGTGACTCACTGGCTGTGTGTGGGGGTGCTGTGTGGGCTGTGTCCTTGTTGCCGGATCATTAGCTTTAGCTTCTCTCCTGCGTGGAGCTCTCTGAATGTGATTCTGTCCAACCTGACGTGTTTACACACCTACATCTTCTTAATGAACTAAGCTTCTTATCTTCCTTTTATCGGTTTTCTTTTTGTTTTTGTTTCGTTTTTTAATGTTACCAAATGAGTTTTTCTAATAACTACAATAGAGATATATATATCTATATCACGCAGCAACTTTAATATATTGTAAATGATGGCTTGGATGCAATGTATTTATTTGTTTGTTACCATAATGAAGAATAATCTATAAAGGGAAGTTTAAGGTTTGAGTATACTACACTTTGTTGTATGTCTTTGGGTTTAGAAATGTCTGTTTATTCATCCATTTGTATCACAACTAAGCAACACAATACCTTTCTACATCGCTAGGATTCATCTTGTTTACTGTGATCATGAATTGGACATCTCTCATATTTCTCACACACAGAACTGCAATGTGGTGGTTTAAGACAGCATATGCCTGTCATTGTTAGAGTGCAGTACTTTTTTTTTGCATTCGTTTTTTGTAGCTCTTGTGTATGTGTGTGTGTGTGTGTTTTTTTTTTGTTTGTTTTTTTTAAGAATAACTGATCAAACCATTTTGCACACTTAATGTTCAGGGATTTATTTGAACCATAGCCTAGCATTAACTTCACCGCCTCTACCACAGAGGCCTGTCACTTCATGTTCACAGTAAGTGCTGACATATTGTCATTTATCATCAGGAGGAATGTTGGCTCTGGTCAGATGGGTCACGAATTGCGTTTCACTTTGCCAAATTTTAGTTGATTTAGCACCAATCCCTTAGGAGTATAAGTCCATTGTATCGAGTGATTTTATGTTAATAATCACTGAAGTGATGTTTTGAGAATATGCTACTTCTTGTCATACAAGAATTGTGTATAAAGAAACCTATTTCTGATGTTGAGCAGAAAACAGAGGTTATTTTTATTTTTAGAGCAAGTTAATACGAGAGCGGTGTCAGAGAAAAATCAAAGGATATTATTGTAGAACTGAACTGTGATGCTCCCTCTGGGGGTTGATAGAAAATGTACATGTCTGTAAATCAAATAAACCTATTTAATCACTTCATACCAAAGTGTTGTCTCTGTTTCTCTTCGTTCTGTCCAACGTTCATCACATCCAAACCAATCAACATCCAGCGGTGCCTCCATTAAAAATGATCTCTTACTTAATTATTTTCCCATACATCTATTTTAGGAGACTTTAACACGGAGCTTTCTTCTCTTCAGAGCAAAGAAAAGTCTGTTCACTGGTGAATGTAGTTTTCACTCTACAGAAGTGTCTTCAGTGTTATGTAACTGAGATGAACCTTAGATTTATCTCTACTGTATGTCATTATGCACCAAATACTGTGCGTATCTGTTAAACCAGAGACTATTATTCTTTAACATTCACAGCCATACGTCATATTCTGCAGCACTAGTGATGCTGATGCCTTATAAAACTGACATCACTTCCCTCCTTTTATTTTCCCACCTCCAATTTCAGGTGCAAGATTTTCCAAACTGTTAGTTAATGTCCAGTGTTGAGGAGCTTGTGTAGAAATGAAGTTGGTGAAATCAGCTGGTGGACAGACTGCCCCCTCTAGCCACTGCTATCATCTGTAGCTAGGGTACCCGCTGTCTTATAGATAAGGGGGCACAAGGAAAGCATAGACTTGCAAAATATTACTCGAATCTAGTTGTTGAGGATGAGCTAAGCACAGGAAAGGACAAGACACATACAGTATTAATTCGGTAAGAACACGTAGCAATGCAGATTTTGGTGTCCAATAGCATCTTCACACATGAATGTTTAGGATAAAGTTTAACCTTAGATGGAGTAAGATGCGGTAAAATGTTGCAACCATGTGACACCTGGGATTATATGACCCGGAACTTGGAGTGGCACAGATTCACATGCTGACTGTGAACTGCTCATCGTTTTCTCATCAGCACCAAGCTTACAATAAATACTTCTGCCTGAGACATCTGAACGCCCCGTTGTCGTCTTTTTCTCCAGCTCACATGAATTTCAATCACAATCACAATCATTAAAAAGAAACATACAGGGTATTAACATGTAGTGTAACTGGTTTTGAGACATGGACGTGAATATGAAAGTTTACGTCCTGATAAAAATGTTAATTTAATGAGGAAACACTTGTTAGTTTTGTATGATGAAACTTTATTTTACACAAAAAGGGAAGATTATTTTGTCACTACTCATTATGATGTGTCACTTCACTTTAAAATGATAAGTGCACTGCATTTATACAGTGCTTTTCTAGTTTTAACAACCTCTCAAAGTGCTTTACACTACAGGCCATATTCACCCATTCACATACAGCACTTCCATAAACACAGTGCAACACTATCACACATACACTCACACACCGATAGAGCACCATCATTGGTAATTTGGGCTTCAGCATCTTGACCGAAGGCAGTTGGACATGCAGACTGGGATTGAGCCACCAACCCTGCGATTAATGGACGACCTGCTCGACCCCCTGAGCCACAGACGCACAAAAAATCAGGGGGGCACAAAAATAGTAACATTTAAGTAATTAGTAAATAGCATGAATTTTGTGCCACTGATTCAGTGTGAACTAGCATGTTGATTCACAGAAATAAATGAATTAATCATTAGCCTATATTTCCAGGCCTGATCTTTTATTAACCAGCAGTAGTTTGTAACTTTTGTAAAGTTATGAGCTTCAGCAGGAAAGCTTGATTCACAGTAAAGCCTCCATCAAAATCTTTACACTGGAAATAATCCTGTGGGATAATCACACAAATTGGACAAATTGTGATTAAAAAAAACCCCATAATTTTGACTTCTACGGTTTGTTCTTTTGGATAGCATCAAGTAAAGCCGCAGCATTTTGGCGAGGGGTATTCTCATTTCTGAGGTAATGTTGCACTTCACCTCACTGTGTTGCTGGTGTCTGGGCAGTCGGACAGTTTTAGGGATTTGATTTTAGTAGAGAAAAACTGAACTGAATGTGGAAGGAAAACTCTGTGGTTACAGTAGAAAATTATAACCTTTGTCTTGTTTGCTTGTGAAAATGTTTACTGTGTTCTGTGTGTGCTAAATACCATCTCTGCTCACAAATTACTACAATTACCATAAATGTAAATGAATGATTCAGAGAAATGATTTGTTCCTTACTTACTTCTTAGTAATTAGCCAGTATGTTGTGCAGCTCATTGTAAAGTGTCACCAAGTCATTTATTGTTGTGAACTGAGTTTGTTCAGTTCCATCGCAGTGAAGTTGCACGAGGACGAGTCAAGTCAAAGGTTTTACTTTAATGTGAAAAACAACCTTATTATAATAAAATAAACAACACTTGTTGACCAGATGTGGATAGCTTGTTTTCTTCCTCTCCTCATCTTTGCAGAGGCTCACAAAGACTTGATTTTTATCACAGTGAGAGAAGGCCGCAGTCTGTGAATGAACCACTGTATTGTTCTGGTGCAGTCAGGCAGGCCTCTGTGAGGCTCCGTTTGTAAAGTAATCTCACAGTCTCCGGAGTGGTTTACAGACGCACTGACACATCACAGACACGACATTCGTGCTGTGGATGCAGTGAAAAAAAATATATATATATATATTTACCTTCACAGGAAGTGAGGAGGTTTTCAGCTGAAGGCCCTCTGTGTGCTGACGTTGATGAAAAAGGGCAGAGTTACCTAACACAGCAGCTAATAGCACTAATGGACATGTCTATGACAGGGCAGCACACACACAGGGAGTAAGTATACACTGCATTTGGACAAAAGAAGGCTTGAGATGTTGGCTGTGAGGCCTTTAATTAGGCAGAGCAACATTTGAAAACGGATCCCTCTATCCGACATGTGCTCAGTTTGAAGAGGAGAAGATTATAAAGGAGCCAGAGGAGGCTCAAAGTGGAGAATTAGCGTTTGGTCGGTGGATGACCCAGAGAAACCAACACCCTTTCCCACAGTCAGACCAGTGCGAACCCCAAAGTCAGACGCTCCGATCTAAAAGTCAACACACCTAGTCATGCAGCAGGCAGGAAACAGTGGGGCGTTGACAGGAAAAGGGGAGCCATTCTAGCGAGCACTGGAATTTCCATTTGCACTTTGCCACTTAAATTCACAGAGGACAGACTCTGTGCAGCACGCAGGGTAAACTTAGGTTGAAAAATAGCCGCCGGTGGGATGTGAGGCTTCAAAATGTCAGCTTGTTTCGAGGTTTAAAAGCAGCATTGTTTAAGCCATCCATATTTTAAATGTTACCATGCATTTTGAATCACAGTGCCGTGTTGTTGTGAAATTTACCCTCTGGTTCACGGAGCATACAGTCAGCTTTCACTTCAAGCAGAAAAATTGTGTTTGATTTTGTGATGCTTTCAGACAACATAATTAAATAACATGAAATAACATTATTCTTTTGAATGTTGTTATGATTTTTGTCAAGTGGACATCTGAAATTTTCAATGAGCTCATTGAAACATTATACTTAAGTGTGATTCATGTCATCACTGATAAGAGGGATGATAATGTGGTTAATTTACATATTTCTTGCACATATTTCAAGACTGTAAAAGTTATAAACTTTTACTCTCCAGACAAATATTCAAATGTAGAGGAAGAAGACATCAGCTGAGGGAAGGTGAGAGTAACAGGACCTGTGTGGATATTGTAATAACATTAGTTATGGTATTATTATTGACAAACTCAGAAACTTACACTCAGAAACAAACTTTATGGTGGTTTATTGGTCAACAAACAGTTTACAGAATACTGTGGCCACTTAAGGTGTGTGTGCAACGAAAGTCGAGGAATCATATGTTATATTAAAGTTTATAATAAAGTACGTGTTTCACAAAGTGAGTGTTGCATTTGTAGTTTGGTAAATGTGACAGGACATATAGGCTGGAGGTCCCCTGTAAGTACCCTGTAATTATTCTTGAGTGCCAGTGATTAAAAAGTACTTTGGTGTGATTTATTTCAAGATCCTTCCCAAACATAAATTTACAATCCCCTTATTCCCTGTACTGCTTGCTTTTACAACACTAAATATTTCATTGGTACCTCCTATATTCAGAATATTCACACTGTGATTTTCAGACTACAATATGAGGCATTTCCCAGAATGCCAACATCAACTTTTCATGGACTGCCAGAGCTATGAGCAGTTACATGTACAAGAACATGTAATTTACAGCATGTATCAATATATTAGACTCTTTTCCCTCATTTTCATAAGGAGCAATCCAACACTGAATAACCCCAATGCTGCCTTCAAAGCATTCAGTCCTACAGTGTAAAAAATCCTTAAAATCTTTACGCTTTACTTCATTCCAAGTGATGAAGTGTTTTGTTTGATGCAGGGCATCCCTGAGGGCCGATGAGTGTCAAAACGTTGAAAACATGTAAAGGCTTAAATTAAAGACCTAAGATGGATTCTATCATAAACCAAAACTGAAACTGGCTCATCTTGGCAGCATCTTATTATACAGTCGGAACACAATAGGTTTATGTTGTGGTGACAACCTCAGTCATATTTAATTTCTCTTCATGGTGAAGTTTTAAAATAACAGTCTGTCAAGAAACATGACTCACACTTCAGTACATTCAACAACAAGTGTAATTTATTTAGTGTATATGTTTCTTCCTGAATGCTTGTCACCCTCCTCAGTGGGAATGGGGGATTTCAGACAGAAGAAGAATTGCCTCTGTAGGAATGTGGGCATTTTCAGAGTTCCTCACAAAAGGTTTAGTTGCAGACAGAGACGTTCATGTAATTAGATGGACCTGATGATTCCTGCAGAGTTACCAGCACAGCACAAATAGAGGTCGGATTAGGAAAGGGAAGAGATAGCACAGAGCCAGAATAGGCTGTCTGTAGGAGAACACATGAAACAGAGGATTCTGCGGTTTGCAGTATCACACCTCCACTGTGAATCTCTCACCTCTCTCTGTTAGCACCCAACCGACTTTTCCAACCTGCTTCACAATGAAGAAACACAGTTACTTTCACTAAAGAAAGTGTGGTGGAAGTCTCCGTTTGCAGTCTCCGTGAGACATTTGTGATGTTCCAAGACTCATTTGATGTG